AATTTTCCGAAAATACAGTTGTTTTCCAAATTCGCTTTCTCATGTCCTGAGAATTACCTGAATTCCCCTGAAAATCTTCTGCAAATCTACTTAAATTTACCTAACAGTGCAATGGAAATCTACCTGAAATTCCGCATGAGCAATTATCAGGGGTGTTGCACCCCCCCCCCACCCCCACCAACCAGTGAGTTCCAAGCAAACACTCTCTGATTTATTGTTCCTGTATTTCACCTTCCAAAATATTGTGCATCATACTATATAGAGCATTTTGCTGTTGTCATGCTCTAGCATGGTTCAAATTTATGAATTTTTATTATATAAAGTATAGTGTTTTACAGACATTTCGAGCACTGATAAAAATGATAATCTCACATGTGAAATTATTCATGATAATCTCACATGTGAAAATTATCGCCTTTTCAATTATCGCTTTTCTGTAAAAATTATCGCTTTTCATTTAAGACAGTCCTTTATATAATAAACAGAAAAATACATGGGTGGTTGGAAATACCAGATTTATTTTTCGTGTTGAACATGACATCTCACTTGTTCGCTGCGCTCACTTGTTCGCTGCGCTCACTTGTTCGCTGCACACTCATGTTCAACACTCGAAATAAATCTGGTATTTCGTGCACCAATGTATTATTCTCTATTTAAACTACAACTTGACTGGTTTAAATTATTATCAAGTTATCAGTGATCGCAAAACCTCCAAATCCTTAATTTCAAATGTTAGAATGTTAGGGTTTGTAATCCAAGTGAGAATATATACATTTTAAGACCTAACCAGGAACGACTGCGAAAAATGCAGCAAGAGGTCCTCTGGTAGGAAGCCAACTGAGCTGCAGAGGCCAGCTGTTGAGTTTTAACCGTAAGTTCATGTATATTTAGGTAATCGGGTATGCGGGTTATGATAAGGTGGACTTCGATAATTTGGATTCTTGCACTTCACTTGGTCGACTTAATATTAGAATGTTAGGGTTTGTAATCCAAGTGAGAATATATACATTTTAAGACCTAACCAGGAACGACTGCGAAAAATGCAGCACAAGG